TGCGGACTCGCAATAGATATCGAGTGGATGGGATAGTGGAAGCTTTGTAGGACCAGTCTGGAATATATCTAATTCATTATCTATATTAGATTAATACTGATAAAGAATGAATGAATGATGTCAGTCATTTCTACGAAGGTAGCTGTGGGTGCGAGCAAGCAGATTTATTTATACAAGTCTGAAAAAATGCGCATCGCCTTCCAAGTAGTACCCCATTAGTAAAAAACAGAGCAAACAGAGCAAACAGGTAGGTGCAAAGCATACACACCCTTGGAGGTTATGCGCTCTTAGTATAATCAGGAGTCTCAGTATCAATAGGAATCTATAGGAATCAATAGAAATCAATAGGAATCTATTGATAGATTCCTGGTATAATGGACAAACTTCATGATACTCTGCTTGCACTGCACTCAGGCAGGCGGTAAGTAATTCCCTCCACTTCACGCATGGTTTCACGTAGCGCGATGACCGCAATTTCCTGTCTGACTGCCGGGATTGCCTTGAATGAGCAAACTAATTAATGAAAACTTAGAATGGATCAGGAGCGTATCACGAAGTGGTTGTAATAACATGTGAGCAATTTTTGCCACATATGCATAACTCGGTCATCGCACATGTCATAGCCAATTTGGGGAGGGGGGGCATTCTACGTGGATGGATGGTCAACTCCTTGCAGACATGAGCCAGTACACAGAATTACCTACCTAACGATAGTAGGGTCCCTAGATGTGGCTATCTTGCAATAGCATAGCTCTAGTAGTAAAACTATAGTCCTTCGCTCCGCCGCAGGGCTATAGAACATTCTATGTTGAATCCTGTCACTTTTTCTGCTCCCACTGCTCCCACGAAAAATGGCTCACAAGTCACAAAACGCAAAATGATCAGGCTTTTTAACACTTATTTTTCTACATGGACCTCTCATCTATCTTTTTGAACACTTTCCACAATTTTGCACCATGTATTTATGCATTTATTCCTCAAAGTGCTAGCACTACTTGCGATTTCGTTTGAAATGCTCTCGCGTATGCGCGTGACATCACCCGAAATGTAGACAAAACACATGGACAACCTAGCATAAATACATGGTGTAAAATTGTGGAAAGTGTTCAAAACAATAGGTGAGAGGTCCATGTAGATAAATAAGTGTTAAAAAGCCCGATCATTTTGCATTGTGTGAGCCATTTTTCGTGGGAGCAGAAAAAGTTACAGGATTCAACATAGAATATTCTATAGCCTTGCGGCGGAGCGAAGGGCTTATAGTACTAGAGCTAGCAATAGCAATGCTATGAAACAAGTCTTTACCGCTTGCTTTTACAACTCGAACACGGGAGCTAGCATTACCTTCGATTAGACTTACGTCACAGAGAACACCCTGTGAAATAGCAAGGAGGGACAAGGGAAGAAGAGATGGAAATATCTTTGAGCAGCCAGCCAGCCACACATCCCAGGGAACATCCTGCCAAATAGCAGGAACAAGCGAAGAAGAGTTAGAATTATCTTCCACTACCCCTTTACACCCCCTTATATTACCTCTGAGCGACCGCTGATGCTCACAGCTCCACCCTTCAAATATTATTACCCCTTTACACCCCATCGAATACCACTACCCCATTATACTCCCCCTTAGGCCACAATTAAAAAAATATTTGATTGCCCTCAGCCGACCCAGGCTGAAAAGTTTGGGTAGGTAGGTAGGCTTCATTTTTTTTTAGGGGGGTCTTTTTACAAATTCAGCATGGTGTCTACATGCTTGGGTGTGCTTGTGTGGAGATACCTTTTATGTTGAATGTTTGTTTTGCTTGGTACATATAATCAAGAGCTAATAATACCTAGCTAGGTATTATTAGCTCTTGATATAATGTATTGCCTACAGATTTATATAATGTACAGTGATACGTTTGTAATAAATATTGTGTAAAATAAATGGGAAAGATCAATAAAAATGTTTGAGTCGGCCCCTTTTTGGCGGGTCGGTCGGGTGAGGGCAAACAAACAATATTTTTATCATGGCCCAATTACCTTCGAGCGGCCGATGATGCGCGTGCCGTTCTACCCCTCAAATACCACTACCTCTTTACACCACCCACCATTACCTTCAAGCTGTCGTTGACGCTCACAGCTCTACCCCTCGAAGACCACTACCTCTTTACACCCCTCCCCCCCATTACCTTCGAGCTGCCGTTGACGCTCACAGCTCTACCCCTCGAATACGACTACCTCTTCACACCCCCTTATTACCTTCGAGCTGCCATTGACGCTCACAGCTCTACCCCTCGAATACCACTACCTCTTTTTTTACACAGGTCTCCTTAATTATAGTATATTATAAATTCTATAATAATTATTACCTTCGAGCGGCCGCTGATGCGCGTGCCGTTGACCTCGTGGAGCACGCGGCCGACCCTGAGCATGATGGCGTCGAGCATTGCGAGAAGATGCGCGACGCGCGGCGCGTGCTTCTCCGTGCCGTCCAGCCACGAGATCTTGTCGCCGCGGATACGCTTCGAGCGTCTGCTGCCGACGACCTGGCCATCGGTGAAGACGCCGCTCGCCTGCAGCCGCCGCATCTCGGCGAGCACGTCGTCGCCGCGGCCGTTGCCGAGGAAGCTGTCGACGACGCAGACGCCGTGCTGCAGCATCGTCTCGACGACGTAGCGGACGAGCATCTGCTGCTGGCGCTCGGCGTGCGGATGCTGCGAGCCGCGGGTTTCGTCGGCGATCGGCCCGGCGTTCGGCCATCCGGCGCCGCTCAGTTTGGCGAGCAGGAGCTCGTCCGTTCCGCGTGAAATGATCATCGCCGTCGCTTGTCGTCGCTTGTCGTGCCTCGCGTGGATCCGCCGGAGATGGCTGTTGCCATGCGTGTGCGCGCGGATGCGCTAAGGCGTGCCTTCGCGTCCGCCGTTCGCTCGCTCACAGAATGTTGCAAAGCTCGGAGAGATGCGTAAACTTGAGACGTGGTTTTTTACAGCCTGCAAAATTTCGGCAGAAATTTTTGTAGTCTCCGAAAACGCTCGAATATATTTGATACGAAATAAATTCAGACGAAATTTACGAGGAAATTTGTTCCGTCAACGCCGCAACAGATACGTGTGTAAATTGAAAAACTAAAACAACAACTTGTGAATCACTGAATGACCAAGTCACCAACCATGCAATTATCACTATCAGTATCAGTAATGACAGTATCAGGAGATGTAGCTCTGCTCCAAGAAACGGTCTTGCTAGGATTAGAAGACCTGTATAGACAATCGGTCGCACAGCCTGTTCGGGCTACAGGAGATGTAGTCGGACTACTCGGACTACCATTTACCACCAAAACTTAGATTATATTACTATTAGACAGATCGGTCTGCGGTGGATATCTCGCGCGCGTTATGACTACCTTGCTTCCTGCGTTGCTGATAACGTGTGAATGAATAACGCTAGAACGGTATGTCGAATAACCAATCTTGTCGGCCGACTCGCGCTGATTCATGCCAGCATGTGTTGTGCGACTTGTATACATGCACGAAGCGTAGGCCTAATAACGAACAACGACAACGAAGAGGAGCAAGCCTATCGTCACGCACGTACGATTCGCGCATAATCAGGCTGCAACTCGCTACGTATTCGTCATCCTGCGTCAAAATTCCACGGCGTATTTATAATCATTTCCTGAGTCAAAGGTATAGTAGTTATTACTAGCTATTTATTGCACGAGTATGGTTATTTTGTTAAACTAAATTAATTAGTTTGATCTGGAACCTTTGCATGAACTATGCATGAACTTACTACATAGTTGTTCCGAATAACGCGCTAAGCCCTCACTATGGGCACTGTCCGTTTCCGGCGCGCACCGTCTGTTTCCGGCGTGAATGAACTTGTGAAGACTGAAGTTGCTGAATCATCAGTGAATGTCTGATGTGGGATACAGTTGTATTGATTTAATATTTCATTAAGATTTCAAGAACGTCACTATAACTGAAAAATGACTGTTACTCTGAGCCTGAGCAAACGCAGCCCAAACGTTGGTATGTTAATTTACATGTAACGTGTGTGTAACGCAAACGATTACATCACAATCATCAATGACAATCAGTTCACATCATGATCATGATCATGATCATCATTACTACTAGTAGTATTACTAGTTAATAATAATACTATAATATACGTATTAATAGTACACGATGTACACATACATTCACATTACCGGTAACACGAAAAAATGAAAATGAAAATGGGTTTTCAATGCCAGCGGCAGAGAACTTGCTTGCAGTTGTACGAGTCGTTAGTATCACAGGCACTTGGACCGTTTCAATAATAAAATGATGGTTAATAAATACAACTTGTCAGTACTACTACTAGCCCTACCAGTACCAGTAATAGTCTTAATGTTTGATTTGACCTAATAACTTCACTTCAACACCGTCCAATACACCGCTGCAACACATAGCGCGCACGCCCTTGTGCATGCACAAATACACAGTGATAGAGACTCTCTGGTACTGGTAGGGCTAGTAGTAGTACTGACAAGTTGTATTTATTAACCATCATTTTATTATTGAAACGGTCCAAGTGCCTGTGGTTAGTATGACGTTAGTTACTTATGATGTTTCATCTTATAACTTGTATAGTTATATTTGTAACCTTACAGTTACGACTTCGAGTGGCCGATTTTGATGACTTGCTGGTTTTTCTCTGATTTATCGGATAATTATGTACTATTTGTAACCAACTGCATGGGCTGTGGCCATGTACACGTTTGCTTACTGCACGTTCCATCTGTTACATGATCCAGGAAATCTCATCGCAACTGAATATGTGAAGAGTATAGTAGATGTGAAGGTAGACTGGGGAGATAGCAACTCTATCACCACTAGTAGGTCAGTGTTAGTGTGTTTTCTTCATGCCATTATGTGTCCGATAAGTAAAAGCGATTTTAATATATATATACAGTCAAACCTCAGTTATCCGAACATCTATTATCTGAATTTCGGATTATCTGAACAAGATCTCAAGGTCCCATCAATATTTAATAAGCCACTAGACCACCCGTTATCCAAACAATCAGTTATCAGAACCAAATACGCCCCGCTCGTCTCATTCGGATAATCGAGGTTTAACTTTATTGGTATCAATGTCCTACCATTTTGATTCTAACTGATGGCGACACATTTGTACTATTACGACCTCATTGATAAGTGAGCGCCTTGGTGTTATGTTATGGCATTTTGCAGTGATGTCGTCTTTACTACTGGCCCAAGCATCTGTAGGTACCTGGCCAGGCTTGCACCCCAACTAGGGTTGTATGGTGGAAACGCTCTTGAGAGGGCCGAGGTAAATCATTCCAATTGTCATACACATCGTTATCACAACCATGCTATCAGCGGATGTAGCATAAATTTAATAATGAGGATATTTGCCAAACAAAATATTGAAAATATGGAGAAGGAATCGTGATCGTGGATTCTGATGCATCGCACACTCTATAGGTGGACCACTGGATAGAGTTTAGTGTGGGGCAACTGTGCTGCGACAGCGACTTTGGAGATGGGGTTCAGTACCTCGATTCGGTGCTAGCCTCGGCCAATCACCTCATCGGATCCGGCGTTACGTTAGCTGACATCTGCGTCTGGGCAGCCATCAAAGGTTGTGCTCTGCTTGTTTGTGATTTCTGACACGTTGCAGCGGTTAATTACTTGGTGCAAAATATATACAACACTGAATATATATCTCTCTCTTGCGTTTTCTACCTCTCTCTTTCTCTCTCTCTCTCTCTCTCTCTCTCTCTCTCTCTCTCTCTCTCT